TTAAAGGGTGCTGCCGAGAAGTTTCTTTTCAATATTATGATTGCTTTATACTAATAGCCGAAGTCGAGTCCGAGCTCACGGCACGTTTTCACCCGAGTTCACCACGGAACGTGGTTCGTCGAAAATGCCCTCTCTCTCCTTTTCTATTTAACTTTGTTATAGATTTGATTATGAAAACAGCCCTATCCTCGTACGAGGAGAGCGGTATCGGTTTACTTACAGGTGGCAGACTGTCCGATCTGGCCGACTTCCAAAGATAATATTGGTTGGGGCATGTGTTACGCACGTCACCAGATAGGTTTCCACGGCGATCGATGTTCGCCGATGTAGGGAGTGGGTGGAAGAAAGCCAAGGGTAGTCAAGCTAATCCCTGGCACGAGGGTATGAAATGCCCAACTAGGGGACTGGGTCACAGGTCCTGTTAGGCTCCCTGGATGGGGACTTCGGGATGATCGTAACCGATGGTTAGAGGGTGATATGGTCGAGCGTCGTAAACAGTATCGTTTGTGTATCTTCTCAATTTCTTTGCAACCTGAAAACACTGAAATTCCTTATTTTCTGTTTGTGAAAAAGTGAACTGAATTGATCTCATTCGATCGTTCTCCTTGCTGTAATATCTTTTTGCATTTTAGCCTGGCTGTTTGAACTTCTTACTGTTGTGCCAGCTTTTATCATCACACTCTCATTTGTAATTCAGTTGAACCGATCGGATACCGCTGGTCAAAATCATACTTGATAGCTTTGCAAGTTTATCTCGGAATGCTCTGTGTGAAATCTGCTGCTGAGGCAACATATCTTGGGCTTCTAATCATTGACATTTAGATCAGTCTCAAAGTTTCCCTCACCTTGCATTGCATGTCCTATTTTTATGGGGATGTTTAAACATACATGTATATCTCGCTTTCGTCAACAATGCAACCCGTTTTGACTTTTTCCTCTTCAAGCTAATAAATGCTTTTATTCTGTTAGGATCTCAAATAATAAATGCAAACGGGATAAGTGGTAAACATTATTGTGAACTAAAACCAAAAGGATCCTTTTATGGAGATCACCTGCATGTTCTACTCTTTTTTCATGCGTCTGTATCCTTTCATACTTCTTGAACTTCTGTTTAGTCCCTGATTGAGCTTTCTGTTTTAGTTGTGGACGTTTTACTGGCACCAGTTTGTATTTGCGATACACATATGCGGTCTATGGTAGTTGTTTCACATTTGCATCCTTGTAGCCCACTAAACTTGAAAATTGATTACACCCGTAGGTATTATCTTTATGAACTCTGTCTGTTATATGCTATTTTTTCGCAATTGGCTTTGTGTTAAATGACTCCTGTCCAGCCGTTCGCGTTATTGTGAGTAATACCGCTGTTGCATAATCTGGTGCCTTAACCCCCACCAAAACTGTTTTGTACTTACAGCCGGCCATTTACAGCCACCCCGAAAACACAGAATGTTCGTCACCATCTCCAAGCCAACCGTTCTTGCGTACTGTCCGCACCTCGTCGAACGAGATTTCTACAATTGATCTGAACTCGCTCATGCGTTCCATGAATCGAAACTCATCACAGAATTCTCCCCCGTCAATTGACTGATTGATAACCCAATCATGCATTCTTATCGTTTCCTGTGTCACTGCCTATCCTGCCTTCATAACTTTACCTTTTCTGGATCATGTGCTCCGCTTTCTTACTTGATCATTGTATATATTTGTGTTTCTGCCCTCAATTTTTCTGTAGATACACTTGATCACATCTACCCCCGTTTCTTTACCATTTGGTTGGGAATTTTGAACGGTACAGGGTGGGATGCCAAAAGATACTTGGTTATGCTGAAAAATGCGAATTAACTGATCTTTGTCGGTGAAATTAAAAAATGGAACTGCGTGCAGTGAACCACGATACAATTACGCCCTGATTCCTGGAATTTAACTAGATTACTAATTGTGAATTCCGGTCTGAAATCCGTGTAAGAGCTGATATCGACCAACCGTTCTTCAGATTTTAGCTTCATGCATGGTGTAGTGACAGTGTCAACCCGAGTTTATCCATCTGATCAGCCATAAAGCATTGGACTCAAAACTTCTGCTCATTTCACTATGAAGATCTTGGGTAAGCTGACGAAAGCAGTTAGGGAAAACGGCATCATGCATGAAATCCTGTATATCTCTACCGTACACGTGTAGTGGCCAGTTGAACCAAGGAGTTGTATGCATGAAAACAAAGACAATATGTAGATCGTATAGATAAATTGGAAGCAAATCTTTGTCACTATACAGGTTTCCGAGGATAACCTGTACGTGCCATTCGCTCGGATTTCAGGGATTCGTTTATTAGTGGGCATCGAAATTTAGATGACTCGGTATGATCATCTTTTTGTGTTTTCATAATGGCTCTGGTCGTTTGACCGACGAAGGACCACAAGGTAAAACATCAATTTGGATGAACCGGGAGGCCCTGTCCATATTCCGAACCTGTTTAGCAGTTAAGATGGGCTGAGCAGCGACGAGTAACGAAATCAGTGGACGACTCTTACCGGTCGCAGTCCCAGGAACTGACTGAATGAAGAACGAAGCCAGTGGTGAGTTGTGTCACCTGTAGTATCAATATTTACGAAGGGCAAGTGCACGGCGCAACTCACCGTAAATCGTACCATATCCGAGGTCGTGTGTGGTCTCATGGTAGAGGGCAATAATAGAAAATAGCGCCTTTACATGAGAAAAGGGAATGGAGTTTAAAATGCGGAATAGTGTTACTACATAGCTACTCTCTCCCCTGACTGGTGGTTGGTGAAGAAGAGCAAACCTTTGAAAAGTCAAATGTGTGCGAGGTGTGTTCAGGTAATGTGAATGTGCATGGATGAGTCAAAATTAAAAAAGAGTAACTGGCTGTTGCAGTCATTGTGGGCAAATTGTTAACATGGAGTATTGTGTGTAAAAATGCTTCGAATGGAAGCACTGGCTGAGAAGGAACAAGTATTCCGAGTCTACGTTCGTTAGTAGTGTCTTTGTCTCGACGAATGATCAGAAAAGTCAATGGTTCGTCGCACGTGCGCCGCCAGGTATCCACCTCCGTCCACGAGGGTCGCAGGGTTAATAAAAACTGGCCGGGAAAAAGACCTGGCCTACCAAAACCGTCACAAGCGTTTGCCGGTGTTGTGAAAGTGGCCACTTCCCCTCATTCACCCTAATACGGTTTTTCCGTTTCCATAACTAAGGTTATGCCTGGCGTTCATGTTCGTTGATGGGGCCCTGGAAGAGAAGGGAAAACAACGATCAACCTAACAGTCCAGACGAACTAGCTGAGGTTGCTGACCGAGCAATGGAGCAGGCTCAACTTTGGTGAACATCCGGAGCTAAACTTCGGTCATCCGTCGCCCTCAAACCCTACTCCCGTAGGCCTCTGCACGAGCCCACGACAGAAGTGCAACTATTGTCTCAGAAGTTAGCCGACCTTCGTTTATCCATAGTCACTATGCAGACCATCATCAACAATCTGCAGACTACCCGCACGACCTGTGGTCGAACCCGGTCCAGCAACCGGCGTAGGCGAACCGCATCTAGAGGCGGACTGTGGTATTACCACGGATGTTTCGGAAATCAAGCTAGGAAGTGCGAACCGCAGTGTTCTTTTAAAAACCAACAGGGAAAATAGTAGGCCGGCAGGTCACGGCGACTACCTCAACCGGCTCTCCCATCCCTTTTCGCCTCCTTTTTATCTACGATAACTCGTCCTAGCTTAGGTTTATGGTAGATACCGGAGCGCGAGTCAGTATAACCCCGTTCACTAAACAGGATGCTGCCAACCCAACAGCACTGACTTTGCAGGCAGCCAACGGTACCCCTATCCAAACCTATGAACAGCGGCTACTGAACTTAGACCTAGGTTTAAGACGCGTCCTGCCTTGGGTTTTCGTGGTTGCGTTCCTTACGCCATACTTGTTCTAGACTTCCTCCAGCACCACGGCTTAATCGTAGATCCCCGTAAGCGACAGATAAGAGACCCAGACACTTCTAGAGTAGTCGTCGGCTCCCTGGTATATTCGGAAACGCAGAATATACACCTCCCTTTTTCACACGATGATTCCCCATATTCACCGTTATTCCGCGAGTTCCCTATCCTCGTCCTTCCCAGCACCGAGCTGCCACCTATCACGACGGAGTTGTTGAACCACATCCTCACTCGAGGTACACCGGTCCACGCACGTGCCCGTCGACTAGCATGTAGTGATTGCTCATGAACTATGAATTCTTTTGTTTTATTGAACACGATATCCTTGTATATTTCTAATTTCCGCCTATTGCAATTCCATTCCGCCTCTGAGTTGACTTCTGATTTCGTTTCGAGTCTTAGTTCTGGGTCGGACTATTAGTGCGCGGAATCCGATACGTATACGAAATACTAGTCCGAGTACGAACCATAACATAGCACCAGGCAAGTTAGGCACCGCACGCGCAGAGTTTTAGCACATGCTGAACATGGGTATCATACGTCCCTCAGAAAGTCCACGGGTGTACCCTCTACACATGGTCACCCAAATGTCGTCCAACGACTGGCGCCCATGTGGAGATTATCGCGCACTCAACCGCGTGACAAACCCAGATAGGTACCCGATCCCCCACATCACGGATCTCACGTCTGACATAGCCGGTAGAACTCTTTTCAACCGCATCGATCTGGTTCGCGCATACAACCAGCTACCGGTAACAGAAGCCGACATCCCCAAAACAGCCGTAGTCACATCGTTTGGTCTATTCAAATTCCTCCGAATGCCATTCGGTTTAACGCCGCACAATCCTTCCAACGTCTCATTGACAACCTTTGTAGAGGTTTAGACTTTGTTTTTGTTTACTTAGACGATATCCTAGTGGCTAGCTCATCGCGCGAGGAACATCTGCCACACCTCCGAGCACTTTTTGATTGTCTGACACAGCATAGTATCACGGTCAACGCACAAAAATGTGTTTTCGGTGCCTCCAACATTGATTTCCTCGGTCGCCGCAGCACAGCCACTGGTATCGAGCCACTAAGTGACCAAATCCCGGTGGTAATAGACTACTCGGATTACCCCTAGCCTACCCCCCTAGCTTAGCCGAAAGCTCGCATGTCTTCCTCTGGGCAGAGGTTCGCGCACTACTGCAACCTCAACACAACGGCGCACATAAGGTACTGCGACGCTTGGAGAAAGCCTACGTAATAGAGCGCAACGGTAAACGTGAGACCGTCAGCATTGACAGGCTCAAACCTGCGTAGCTGGAGGAATCCGTTCCTTGCAATAATCTTCCCCCACCCGTTGCGCCACCGCAACTCCCGTCCCAATAAGTCATGCTCCCTCCATCCCGGTAAACCCCGTGACATCCTTGGAGCAGGCACCTGATCCTGACCCACCCCATCGGATCACTAGTCGCGGGAGACTCCTTAAGTTACCTGTACGTTTCGCATTGTAACACGTTTTTACACTTGACAACGTACAAACACATTTAGTCTGCGATATGGATAATTTTTATTTCACCTCAGTATTCATATACGCATGCGCAAACCAAAAACTCTTTTTATCAGTGTTTTCATTATTTTTATTCCACCATGGTTTACGTATTTTCCTCTATGCATATATACACAAAAAACAAAACAAAAAACAAAAAACCTAGCTCTTTTCGTATTGTATTTGTTTTCGCCTCGCCAATCAGCTCCAACAAGGGCTGCTTTGACCTTTTTTCTTCCGTTCTCTTCCAGGCTCTGCATTCAAAACTCGGGAGAAAAACCCTCGGCCAAGAAAACGCAGAAACGTCAAAACCCGTGAAGAAAACTTCGACCAGGAGAACGCAGCACGAAAGAAGATTGGCACGTTCCCCACCCTTCCCACCGCTCCAGCACAAAATGGGTATCGAAGACCTTTCTCTGACGACCCCGTCAGTTTTTTACTAGCTCGT